ATTACAAAGGAAGAGGTGAGCATAGCTTCACCCATGGGGCTGTAGCAAGACACACCCATGCACGAGACACCGACCCTCGRACCCAAGAAAGGTGGGGAAAACTCTGCCACGTTTCTGTGACTGAGCACCTCAAAACACAGCCAGGGAGTGTGACTGGGTATAAGGTTGGTCTCCCAYACCCTATCCCACCCCCCAAAAAAAAAATTCTGGGCCAATTAAATGATTTCTAAAACACTTTCTTTTTTGACCTGGCAGTGGGTGACTGGGTGTGGCTTATGAGCCTGGCAACAGACTCTCAGGCCAGTGTACACCTTAAAAGGTCAGAATTTGCCAGGTACTGTGGTACGTGCCCAATGACTCAGGAAGCTACGGCAGGAGGACTACAAGTTTGAGGCCAGCCTCAGCACTTTAGCAAGGCCCTAAGCAACTTGGCAAGACCCTGTCTCAAAAATAGAAAGGGCTGGGGATGTAGCTTAGTGGTGGAGTGCCCCAGGGTTCAATCCCCAGTGCCCCCCAAAAAGAAGAAAGAGTTTAGAATTTGCCARGCATGATGGCTTATACCTAATCCCGGCTACTCAAGAAGCTGAGACCTGAAGATCCCAAGTTCAGGGCCCACTTGTGCATCTTAATATAAACCCTGTTTTAAATATTTTTAAAAAGGGGCTAGGGATGTAGTTCAGAGGTAGCATGCTCTGGATTCAACCTCTAGTACTTGGGGGAGGGGAAGTCAGAATTCAAGGACCAGAGATATATACTAATAATGACCAATAAAATATCTTGACAGCATCCAGTGACATATATGGGTTGGGTCTGCTATTTCCTGAGAAATGATATAATTTCTCACCATAAAGGTGTTCTGAGTAGAAATGCCTATAAACTTTGTGCTCATCTGAATGGTCTCTGCCTTCAAGCAGGTTGGATCCTATTAGGTTAACTTCAGTTTGTATTTTTCCTGAAATTATCACTTTGAGTAAAATGGAAAGACCTAATATAAATGTAAAGAGATTTCTTTGGGCTGGGGATGTGGCTCAAGCGGTAKCGCGCTGGCCTGGCATGCGTGCGGCCCGGGTTCGATCCTCAGTACCACATACAAACAAAGATGTTGTGTCTGCCGATAACTAAAAAATAAATATTAAAATTCTCTCTCCCTCTCTCACTCTCTCTTTAAAAAGAGAGAGATTTCTTTTAAACATTTGGTAAAAATCACATTCATTGAGTTAATGCACATACACGTGAAACATTTTGTAGGGCTTCTTTTGGCATGAAAACAAGAAAAACTCAGCTTCAGAATGCCTTTGTGTCCTCGGGGAGTATAAGTGATGGTTTCATAACCTCATCATGGAAGTGAAAATGAAGGGCTGTGCAGATTGGCACTGGGCATGCAATTACTGAGGAATTTCATGTGAGCCCACTCCTGGTGTTCTACTGGGCATCTGTGCCAGGGTCAAGCTAGCAAAAATGCCTTCAAGGGTCTGAGACTTGATGTTTTTGTGGACAGAGAAATGGTTTAGTGGATGCCTTTGTTGAGACTTGCCAATTGTACTTTTAGAAAATTTGGAAGAGGAGTAGATTGGTTTGTTGAATCAAACAGATTTATTTTGCTTGGGAAAAATAGTAACATAAATGACCTTTATAGTCTCCATTGGTTCAATTTGTTCTGAAGCAGACCTTCTAAGGCTCATAGTCTCTCAGAATGTCTTGCAAAGTAACCAGGCAGCTGATGCACGCCTGTAATCCCAGCAAATTGGGAGGCTAAGGCAGGAGGATGGCAAGTTCAAGGCCAGCCTGGGCAACGTTAGTGAGACCCTGTCTCAAAATTCAGAAAGGCCTGGGATGTAGCTCAGTGGTTTAGTGTCTCTGGGTTCAACCTCCAGTTTCTCTCTTTGTCTCATGTCCACATACATGAGAATGTTGTAYAAGGGAATGGCTGTCTATAATTTAAATGTGAATGAAGTAGTCAAACTCAAGAAGTCTATTTCTTTGGACTCAGTGATTTTAGAGCAGAAGGGAGTTAATAAAGAAAGTAAATAAATTAGGGAAATGGCCAATAGGAAGTGATAATATGCAGGGGAACAAAAAATTGTGATTTTTTTTCCTTTGCCAGAAAAACATTTCTGATTTTTATTTTTTCACATGACTATACCCTCTTTTAATACAGGAGTTAAGGCTGGAAATGGAGCTGTCTATTCATTGAAATACAGCTCACTGAAATCAGGTTGGAAAAGACCTGAGATCCTATATCTAACATAGTTGAAAGCAAATTAATTATGATACTCTTGTTTTGGGTTGGGGGCTGGGAGGAGGGAAATGATTTCCTTTGGTTGCCACTGCCTCTGCACCACAGCACCAGGAGGATTTAATCCGCTCTACTAACCCAGGAACTGCCAGTTCCCCATTATCACCAAGATCCTAGCAGCCAGGTTGTTAGATGCATTTGCGGCATTGTGAGCTAATTCAGTAGATAAACAATTTTTGGAAACGGTGAGTGTTGATTCATGTTTCCATTTTTCTTAATTGATCATTCTTCCAGTTTTCAAAGATGTGCATAACTAGTATATGAATTAAGGAGTGGTAGAGATGAGGTGAGAGTTTCCTGTCCCCTCTCTTGCCCTCCCCCTCACCTTTTTTGTTGTGGTTGTTCTAATCAGATATACATGACAGCAGAATGTATTCATTGTACACAAATGGAGCACAGTTTTCACTTCTGGTTGTAGGGTCACACCATTTGTGCAATCATTCATGTACCTAGGGTAGTGATGTCCATCCCATTCCACCATTTTTCCTACCCCATGCCCTATCCCCAGCTCTCCCTCCCCTTTACTCAATCCAAAATTGCTCCACTCATCTCTCACCCCCATTATGGATTAGCATCCACTTATCAGAGAAAACATTCAGCCTTTGATTTTTGGGGATTGGCTTACTTTGCTAAGCATGATATTCTCTAATCCATCCATTTACCTTCAAATGCCATAATAATAATTTTATTCTCTTTTAATGCTGAGTAATATTCTTCTGTGTGTGTGTGTGTGTGTGTGTGTGCGCGCGCGCATTTTACAGTTTCTTTATCCATTCATCTATTGAAGGGTCCCCCTTAACTTTTGCAACATTTCAGATCTTTCTCAAAGTCCCAAAGTATATTTTCTTCCTATTATTCTTTTTATCAGTGCTAGAGAGAATGCTGGATGTTTGTAAGATAGAGTGGCATAGTGAACCATCTGGGTAGATGTGTGTGGAACAAAGCAAGTAAATATATTATAGAGAAATAAAATTATCTCAGATGTCTCTTCAAGAAAGGGCTGGCATGCTGGACATGGTGGCACTAGCCTATAATTCCAGCTGCTTGAGAGGCTGAGGCAGGAGAATTGCAAGTTCAAAGCTAGCCTCAGCCTCTTAGTGAGGCCCTAAGCAACTCAGAGAGACCCTAAAGGCTAGGGATGTGGCTCAGTGGTTAAGCRCCCTGGGCTCAATTCTCAGTACGAGGGTGTGGCGGGGTGTGTGGGGGTGTGTGAGCTGGCTGGCTGGCTGCCTGCAAAGGAGTGTAGCTGCCCCTGTTAGCAGCTTCAAGGTCTACCCCTTGGAGCCAAGGTCATGCTCTTCCTAGAGGGGTCCCAACCAGTGGCTGAGCAAAGCAGTGATGTAAGAACTTCTCCCTGTCCCCTTATATTGTGTTCCTTTAACTGGCCATCTGTACTAGCTTTCACAGGCTTTGGCAGTCTGTAATCTAATGTCGYTCCCCCCCAGTCCTGCTTCTTTCTCTCACAGAAGTTACTCATCAGTCAACCTTTTTCATTCTTAATAATGTTTAGTATCTGCTTCCTGAAGAATCTAACTTGGGACACAGTTCTTACGTAAGTCACCCTGTTTCCTTAATTTTACCCTTTTTATAAAACCGCAGTCCTTGTCTGCAAAAGCTTTGCATGCATCAGTGGTTTTCTCTATACATTTATGGTCTTTTCAGAAAATTTAAGGAATACAGATAAGTACAAAGAGGAAAATATTAAAATTATCTGTTATCTCCACTAGAGGTAACTACTGATGATAGCTTTTTTTGGTAAACTTCAGAAAAGTGCATAAGTACTCAGTTCAGTGAATCTTTCATGAACAGAACATATCTGTGTAACTAGTACCCAGTCAGGAAAACAGAACTTTACTAACATTTTAGGAGCTTCCCATTTKCTCGCCACTGTCCTCATTTGTAATATAAGTAAAATTTAAAACTTGACATAAGTATAATCAGGTAGTATATGTAATAACGTCATCTTTTGCTCAGTATTATGTCTGCAAGATATATCTGTGTGTATGTACTCTTCATTCTTGGCTGTATAATATTCCACTGTGCGAATGTACCACCATTTATCTTTTCTGGACATTTGGGTTGTTTCAGTTTTCATTCCCTGGATCTGTTATGATGTTTTCTGTGGTAAACGTTATATTATCACATAATTATATGTAATAATTATAGCTAATTATTCTGGGAGCATTTATTATGCTCTTAAGTGACTTGTYTTTATGTAAAAGCCAGAAAAAAAAGTTTTGTTTTGCTTTTGCAGTGCTGAGAATCAAACCAAGTTTTGTACGTGCCAGACAAGCTTTCTTGTCACTGAGCTATGACCCCACCCCCAAAAATGGTATTCTTAACTCATATCCTCAGAATTTTATTACTCTTTGCAGGACCCAGAGTTAGTTTTTCCTTTAAGTTCAAGATCTTGGATCATTGTTACTGGCCAATGGAAGCTAGCTGTTATTCTCTTTGTTGTCTGTGTCGGATTTTTTGAGTTAAAGGAATTAGTTTTCCAGTTTTAAGATTATACCAGAACTTGGCTGCCTTCCTGGTTTCCACTGTGTGTGTGGGTATAATCAGATCCTTTGTAGGTGGGCTTGGGTCTTGAGCTCCTCCTGTTAGATTAAGGTGCCTCACAACTACTGTGGGGGAAGTGCTGAAGAGAAGAGGGAGGAAATCTGAACAGCCTGAGTCCTGGGCTGCTGCTAACAGTCTGCAGGATGTTTGTTTCTTGTCTACTCCAGCTGTCAAGTGGAATGTCATGGCCAGCTCCTCGGACAGTGAAGATGACAGTTTCATGGCTGTGGACCAAGAAGAAACTGTGCTGGAAGGGACAATGGAGCAAGACGAGGACCCCCACCCAGTACTGGATGTCGAGGAGCCTAGACATGACAGGTCCATGTCTGAGCTGCCAGAAGAGGTCTTGGAGTATATCCTGTCCTTTCTCTCACCGTATCAGGAACATAAAACCGCAGCCCTTGTCTGCAAACAGTGGTATCGACTTATCAAAGGTACTGTGAAGGCAAAAGCTTTATTAATAAACCCTTTCAAATTGTGTTCAATGATTAATTTTTAGATTCCCAACTTCCTTTTCTCCCTTAAATGTATTATGATTATAAAATTTAGTATAAGACAACCCATTTTCCTTTTTTTTATTTTGGTTGGTTTTATGCATAGCTTGAATATATAGTATTTAAAATGAAGATTTACAGTTTAAAAATGAGGATTCTTTTTAAAAGCTTCATATTCTTTTTTTTTTTTTTTTTGGTACCAGGGATTGAACTCAGGGTCCCTCAACCACCGAGCCACATCTCTAGTTCTCAGGGTCTGAGTTGCTTAGCACCTTGCTTTTGCTGAGGCTGGCTTTGAACTCAATTCTCCTGAGCCTCTGGGATTACAGGTGTACACCACCACACCTAGCTCTAAAAGCTTCATATTCCTAAAGGTGATTTGGAAAAAGTTCTGTTGTACTTGAATAGGTAATGCAGGCATGGATATGAGAGAACTATAAGAGYTAACATGAATATTGCTCTTACTGTGTGTCAAGCACTATTGTAATTGCTCTCGTCTCACAACAAACTACAATAGAATGTACTTAATTTTATAGATGAGGAAACTGAGGAGGGCAGTAACTAACCAAATCAAGGTCACACAAGTAGTAAATGAAGGATCGAAGATTCATATTTAGTCATTTTGGCTGTAGAATCCTTGCTCTTAACTAGGATATATATATACATACACACACACACACAATCTCTCAAAGTAGCTTATTTTAGCAAAACGTGATCATGAAAGAATTTACTACTTAATTTTTCTTTAAGAAGCACAGGCCCTCTGTGTATTTTTTACTTTTTTCTTTTTGTAGATTTTTCTTCTTGTAGATTGAACTCATGGCCTAGTGCATGCTAGGCAAGTGCTTTAGTACTGAACTACTACATCTCTAGCCCTTTTTAAATTTGAGACCGAGTCTTGCTAAGTTGCCCAGGCTGGCCTCACACTTGCAATCCTCTTGCTTTACCYTCCTGAAGAGCTGGGATTTCAGGCATGTACTGCCATGCTCAGCTAGGTGGGTTCACGCTTAACAATGTGCATTCTATGAGTTTGACCAAATGTACAATGTGCATCCACTACTATAGTACCACATAGTAATGTCACTGTCCTAGAACTCCTCTGTGCTTTGCCTAGTCATCCTTCCCTTTCCCCAATCCCTGCAACTACTGATCTTTCTTCTGTCTCCATTGTTTTGCCTTATTCCAGAATGTCATAGCCTTTCAAATTGGTTTTTTCACTTAGTAATAAGAATTTCTGTTTTCTCTATGTCTGTTCATGGTTTGTTAGCTCATTTCTTATTAGTGAAGAGTAATAATCCATTTTCTGAATGAACCATAGTTCATTTATTCATTCACCACTAAAGGACATCTTCCCTGCTTCCCAAATTTGGTCATTGTGAATAAAGCCATTCCTACCATCCATGGGCAGGTGCTCCTATAGACGCAAGTGTTCAGCTCCTTTGGGTAAATACCAAGGAACACAGTTGCTAGGTAATATGGTAAGAATTTGTTCAGTTACATAAGAAGCCACCACACTGTTTTCTGAAGTGGCTGTACCATTTTCCATTACCACCAGCAACAGATAACAGTTCCTATTACACATCCTCAACACCATATTTAGTTGTCATTGTTTTGGAATTTCCCCATTAAAATAGGCTTATAGTAGTTTGTCATTTTAATTTACAGTTATCTGATGATAAATTTTATGGAGCATCTTTTCATATGCTTATTTGTCACCCATATATCTTTGGTTAGGTGGCTGTTAAAGTCTTTGACCCATTTTTAAAAATTGGACTTTATTTATTTGTTTGTTTATTTATTTAATTTTTTTTTAAAGAGAGAGTGAGAGAGGAGAGAGAGAGAGAGAGAGAATTTTTAATATTTGTTTTTTAGTTCTCGGCGGACACAACATCTTTGTTGGTATGTGGTGCTGAGGATCGAACCCGGGCCGCACGCATGCCAGGCGAGCGCGCTACCGCTTGAGCCACATCCCCAGCCCAGCCACATCCCCAGCCCTATTTGTTTATTTATTTTGTGGTGCTGGGATTGAACCCAGGGCCTTGTGCATGCAAGGCAAGCACTCTATCAACTGAGCTCTATCCCCAACCCATTATTTTTTAAAAAAATATTTTTTTAGTTGTGAATGCACACAATATCTATACTTATTTTTTTTGTGGTGCTGAGGATAGAACCCAGTGCCTCACACAAGTGAGGTAAGTGTTCTACCATTGAGCTACAGCCCCAGCCACCATGTTTTGTTTTGTTTTTTAATGAGTTCTTGGACTGGAGTTGTGGTTCAGTGGTAGAGTACTTGCCTAGCATGTGTGAGGTGCTGGGTTTGATCCTCAGCATCACGTAAAGAAAATAAGCAAACAAATAAAATAAAGGTATTGTGCCCGACTATAACTAAAATATATATATATATATAAAGAGTTCTGTATATGTTTTAGATAATATACCTTTATCAGATAAGTCTTTTGCACATATTTTTTCCCACTCTACAGCCTATTCTTTCATTCTCTACAGTATTTTTAGGAGAATAGAAAATTATAATTTGGGGGTTTCACTAGGAATTGGACCCAGGGGTGCTTTGCCACAGAGCTACTTAGATCTTCAACCCTTTTTATTTTTTATTTTGGGACAGGGTCTTACTAATTGACTCTGGGTGTCCTCGAACTTGGGATCCTACTATCTTAGCCTCCCAAGTTGCTGGGATTATAGGGATGTGTCACTGCACCCATGCAGAAATTTCAGTGAGATCCAGTTTATCAATTCTTTCTTTCATGATTTTTGCCTTTGGTGTTGTATCTAAAAAGTCATCTCCAAATCTAGGGTCATCTAGGTTTTCTGTTACCTTCAATGAGTTTTATAGTTTTGCATTTTACTTTTGGGTCTCTYCATTTTGAGTTAGTTTTGAAGGTATTCTGCTTTCCTTTTTCTGAATAGATAAGCTCAGTTCAGCACCATTTGTTGTAAAAGGCTTTTTCCTCCATTTTCTTGGCTTTGCTCCCTAGTTAAAGATGGTGTTTAACCGGTACGGTGGTGCACACCGGTAATCCCAGCTGCTTGGGAGGCTGAGGCAGGAGGATTGCAAGTTCAAAGCCAGCCTCAGCAAAAGTGAGGGGCTAAGCAACTCAGTGAGACCCTGTCTCTAAATAAAATACAAAATAGGGCTGGAGATGTGGCTCAGTGGTTAAGTACCCCTGAGTTCAATCCTGGTACCTTAAAAAAAGCAAGCAAGCAATGGGCATATGGATTAAAAATATTCTAATTCTTTTTAATTGTGAGTTCAGCTAAATTGAATTTATCGTACTATGGGGATAGTGATCATCATGGAAAACATGTATAACTATGTACTGTGATTCTGCTTAAAGATCTACTAAGGTTGCATAAATTGAGAAATGATAAATTCTTTCAAAATGTAACATAAAATTGATTGGACTTTTCCTTCAGAAGTTTGCTCTGATGTAATCAGAAATTGAAATGAATGCGTTAGAAATAGGTTGTTCCTGAAACATAAAGCTTTCACCTTTTTAAATAGGCTATATTTTTTAGAGAAGTTTTAGGTTCCTAGCAAAGAACTGCTAAGTTCAGGAATTTCCCATATGCTCCCTGTCATTCAGCCTCCCTCTTATCACCTTTGTCTGCGTAAGTGGAACATTTGTTACATTGACACATTATTATCACCTAGAGGTCATAGTWTGTATGAGGTTTCACTCTTTTTTTTAATATTTATTTTTTAGTTTTAGGTGGACCCAATATCTTTATTTTATTTTATTTTTTATGTGGTGCTGAGAATCGAACCCAGTGCCTCACGCATGCTAGGCCAGCGCTCTGCCACTTGAGCCACATCCCCAGCCCTAAGGGTTCACTCTTGATCTTGTACATTCTGTGGATTTTGACAAATGTATAATGACATGAATCTACCATTGCAGTAAAGTCTGTCTGTGTCTGTCTCTCTGTCTGTTGGTCTCTCTCTCTCTCTCTTTCTATTTTCTACATAGGCTCTTTAAAAAATTCTTTTTCCTTAGTTAAGAATTCATAATTTCATAATCTTTTATAAGCTTGTTATTGTATCCTTGGATGGAGAATGCTTGGGAGCTGTGATCTATCTACAGATATTCACAATACCTACTAAATTACAGATACTGTCTTATCATATTCTTTCACAGAGCTAAATTATCCCATCACCCTTTTGCTTTGGAGAAAATAAATACCACTTATCTTGATGTATTGTCTCATGATAAAGGGGGCCAGGGTTACAGTTAACCTTGAGAAAGTCAATAACCTCACTGTATCTTGGTAAAATGAAAGGATTAGATCTTCCCAATTTGAAATTCTTTGATTGTTTCCTTTCTTTGAATAAAAAAATCAAAGAAATTAATCTAGATTAGTGGCAGGGAGGCTGAAGCAGGAGAAGCACAAGTTGAAGGCCAGTCTTGGGAACTTAGCCAAAAACCTGTCTCAAAATAAAAAATACAAAGGGCTGGGAATGTGGCTCAGTGGTTGAATACTCCTGGGTTCAATCCCAGTACCAATAAATAAATAAATAAATGAATAAATAAATAAATAAATAAATAAATAAAATCAAAGAAATTTAGACTAGTTTTCTTTCTCTTTCACCGCCAACTGGAAATTTTTTTTTTTTTAAAGAAATCAGAAAAAGAGAACTAGAAGTTCAGACTTTCAGTCCAGTTTTGGACAGGTCCTTTAACCACTCTGGACTTACTTCCTTAATATGCTAATGATGCTAATCATGCCTATTTCGGAGCCAAGAATTTTTTTTTTAATATTTATTTGTTGTAGTTGGACACACTACCTTTATTTTGCTTATTCATTTTTATGTGGTGCTGAGGATMGAACTCAGGGCCTCACACATGCTAGGTGAGTGCTCTACCGCTGAGCTACAACCCCAGCCCTCAGAGCCAAGAATATTAAGATTGAATCTCATATATATAATTCTAAGGCCTAAATAAAACAGCATAATATTCATTCTTCATATACAAAAATGTTAATGGAAAACATCATCAGAGTATGAGCTGATGGCATAAAGACTAAAAAGCCTGTACCATTGGGCCCTGAAATTATCTGCTATCTCTAAGGGAACCCTAGAAAACATGCTCTGTGGGAAAGTTGATCATCTAGATGAAATCATCACAAGTAAGAAAGCTTATTTCATTACTTTAGGCAAAAAAATCATTTTAATATTTGTATCACTTAGGCCTACAGATTTGCCTCTTTACATTTCTACCAAATCAAGCCATTTTCATTTGAGGGCGTTCATGCGTTAATGATCTTTTCTTTGGTTAGTAAGGCTGTCATATCTTTATGGTTTAATAGTCATACAGATTCACTTTTTTTCTTCTTCTTCTTTTTTGGTATGGGAATTGAACTCAGGGGCACTTAACCACTGAGCCACTTCCCTAGGCCTTTTTTATATTTTATTTAGAGACAGGGTCTTGCTGAGTTGCTTAGTGCTTCCCTACGTTGCTGAGGCTAGCTTTGAACTCATCCTCCTGCCTTAGCCTTCTGAGTCACTGGGATTACAGGAATGTGTCACCACGCCTGGCCAAATTCACTTTTAAGAATTATACTCAATGAAAGCTTATACTGATATTTTGTTTGTTTTACTAATAATTCTTTTAAGGCCAAATAAAAAATCAGGTCCATGTTTTCTTCTCCATTAAAAAAAAAAAAGTTAAAGACACAGGTTTAATAATTTTACCTACAAGTTAAGTGTTGAAGCTCAGGCATTTGTTCTTCTGTCTTTAGGTGTGGCCCACCAGTGTTACCATGGTTTCATGAAGGCTGTCCAGGAAGGAAACATTCAGTGGGAGAGCCGGACTTATCCTTATCCTGGAACCCCAATCACTCAGCGGTTTTCACACAGTAAGTATCTATGTGAAAACAAACCCCACCTGCCTCTGCTCATTTTCCAGAAACTATTTTGGTTGCATGTTTTTTATCTGACTTTAATGAAGAGAATGTAAAATGAGAGTATTAATTAAGTTCAACCAGAAATAGGAAAATTGTTAGCCTAAATATATTGTAAGGATTGGGCATACAGCTTACTTCCTTGCATAGGTAAGGCCCTGGGTTTGATCCCCAAGCACCACAAATTAACAAATAAATAAATTGGAGGTGTTTTATTAATTATTTTATATTCTGTTTTCTCCCTGGATTTTTCTRTATTTCAAAGAGGTCAATGTATTATTTTGTATTTTATTTAAAGGTAGGATCTCACTGAGTTGCTTAGCACCTTGCTGTTGCTAAGGCTGGCTTTGAACTTGTGATCCTCCTGCCTCAGCCCCCTGATCCACTGGGATTGAGGCATGTGTCACTGTGCCTGGTGAGACCCTGTCTCACAAAAGGAGAAAAAGTAAATTACAGGAGGACCCATATCATTGAGAGAGTGTGACTTAATTTACAGATAACTGGAGTAAAAGGTAGGGACAAAATTTCTAAAGACCATTTTTTGAAACAAGTAGTTTTAGTACTCTGAGAAGTCAAGTGAACCTGGGTATATTAGTTTCATGTTACTGTAGTGAAATACTTGAGGCAATTAAATTTGAAAAAATTTACTTTGCTTATGGTTCTAGAGGTTCCAATCCAAGATCTTGAGGCCCAGTTGTTTAGGCCTCTGGTAAGACTGGCACACCATAACAGGAGTGCGTGGTGGAGAAGCTGCTTATGTCATGAGCCAGGAAACAGAGAAGGCAAGCTGGTGTCCCAGAGTCCTCTTCAAGGGCATACCCCCCTGTCACCTAAGGGCCTCCTACTTGTCCCCACCTTTTGAAGGTCCACACCAACTCCCAAGAGCTACTTTCTTTTAGCAAGATGGTCTAGTCTAACACATGACCTTTGGGGGACACTCCATCCATATTCAGGTGGTTACACTGGGTGAAATAGAAACCAGATTCGGAAATATTCCATTGTGAATGATCAGTTCAGCAACAGCTCTGCTTTCTTATGAGAAAGGAAAAAGATATTTTTTGGTTAACTAGCTTTTGCAGATGGTATTGCCACAAAGTGGAGGCATTGTTTGAAGGGGCAGTGGAAAGGAATAGCTCATTGAGTAAGCCCACAGAAGTTCGGAAGTTGGTGAATTTGAATACTTTAAAACATTTTTCAGTCTTCACTTGAAATCCAAGAAAAGGTACCGTAGGTAGATATTTAAAAAAAAAAAAAAAAAACACTGTGTCTAATTATCTCTTTTGATCTGTTATTGTTTTCTTCCCTTTGTCTCTACATTCTGTCTTTGACTAGCTAACCAGCAAGCTGAAAGGGACCATTACAAGCAAAAAGGCAGGTTTTCTTTGTTAAATTTTTGTCTTTTGGTGGTACTGGGGGTTGAACCMAGGGCTTCATACATGCTAGGCAAGTTCTCTACCACTGAGCCACTCCCCAGCCCTTCTGTGTTTTTGTTTTACTTTGAGACAGGGTCTCTTTAAGTTGCCCAGACTGGCCTTGAACCTAGGATCCTCCTGAGTGGCCAGGATTACAGGCGTGTGGCACTGTGCAGCAGAGGACAATTTTCAAAATAGGTTGAAAACAAAAAGAATTCCTTTTATTTCTTTCCTTAGCTCCTTCCTCTTTCTATTCTGTTTTCCCCTTGATCTAAGTTTCCTTTCCTATCTCTAATTCACATTGAGCTCGAGATCTGCATTTCTAATACTTGCCTATGTTGCCATAGAGATACTAGATGTTTCATATTCAGTTAGCTAAAAGTAGAACTCAGTAGTTCCCCCCAAATTTTCTCCTTTCCTAATTTAGTTCATGTCATTATCATTTTCTTAGTTACACAGACTTGAGATCTTGGCTTCTTCCTCAGTTTCTCTGCTTCCTTTTTCTTAACAACTCAAATTCTGTTAATTCTATCCTATCTCCCTCATACCTTTTCTTTTTTCCTATCATCCTAATTAACAAACTAATCATTTCATCTTCTCGTCACAGCACACATTTTTTTTTTATTGGTTGTTCACAACATTACAAAGCTCTTGACATATCATATTTCATACATTAGATTGAAGTGGGTTATGAACTCCCAATTTTACCCCAAATGCAGATTGCAGAATCACGTCAGTTACACATCCACAATTTTGTAGCAGAATACAGCACACATTTTTTTARTGTTATTTTTTTGTGGTGCTCAAGGCTCTGCACATGCTAGGCAAGTGCCTTACCATTGAGTTACACGCTTAGTCCATAATACACTTTTTTTTAAACCCAACTCTACCATTGTGCTATATCCTCAGTCCCTTCTAAAATTTTTATTTTGAGACAGGGTCTTGGTTAGTTGCTGAGGCTGACCTTGAACTTGTAATCCCCCTGCCTCAGCCTCCCCAGTCATTGGGATTATAGGCGTGCACCATTGTGCACTGCTCACACACACACTCTTTTCCCCTACAGTACACTTTTTTTGGAGGTGGGGGGGATACTGGGGATTGAACTCAGGAGCACTTGGTCACTGAGCCACACCCCCAGCCCTATTTTGTATTTTATTTAGAGATAGGGTTTCACTTTTGCTCGCTTTTGCTGAGGCTGATTTTGAACTTGTGATCCTCCTGCCTCAGCCTMCAGAGCCACTGGGATTAAAGGCATGAGCCACCGCACCCACCCCCAACCCTTTTTATTTTTATTTTGAAACAGGGTCTTACTAAGTTGCTGAGGCTAGCCTCGAACTTTTGAACCTCTTACAGCAGCCTCCTGAATATTTGGGATTTACAGGCTTGTACCACTGCACTTGGTTGGAACCTTTTCATATTGATATAAAGGTTTATTGAGTCCCCAATGTCATCCTTTGGAAAAATGTGAGTATTTAGGCTTTCAGTAGGGTCAGGTAGTTCCACATACTGATGGTCCTGCTCTTGCAGGAGCCRGCAAGCCCAGGCTAAGTAACCCCTCTTGCCTATTCCAGAGTTATGTAATTACAGACCTTATCAAATATGTTCTGGCTTGTTGATGTGAGATACAGAACAGCAGAGTCTCTGTAAGCATGGGATAAATGCCTGAGGGCCTTTCCCTGGAGACAGGTGGGGAAACAAAGGAGAATTTAACATCTGAAAGTGCAAAAGTTGGAATGTACAGTTCATTCATCAAGCATAGGGAATGCACCGGGCAGCATGGGAAATATGAAACTACAGGAAAATGTTGCACGTGATCGTTATAATACAGTACAAAAATATTCAGAACTGTGACAAACTGTTTGCTTGCTGTGTTTAATTAAATTGTGAATATCTGACTTGTCTTTGAATAGGGACTATTAGATAGTAACCTGATCATAAAACAGTCAGACCCATTTTAGAAAATTTGAAGAGATTTAACTTGGGTAAACAGTCTTAATATTTCCTGGCACAGTATTCATACTGCATTGTACAGCATATTCTAGTAGTCTAGATGTTTGGAAAGGAAAACCTTTTATTTGGGTGGAGAGCCCGAGTAAAAGGGAAATGACTGCTTGAGCACTGGTAATTTGTTCAAATTCCTAGTTTTTCCTAAAAGGCCCATTTGAACCTGTTGGATATTCCCACTAAAATCAACATATAGGCATCTTAAGTAAAAATAAGCACTAAGCAAAGTTCAGCAAGATGCTTAAAATAGTGGAATGTATTATTGATTGTTATTTTCTTATTCCTTTATATATAAGTTCTAAACATAGCTGCCCAAATTGACTCCCTTTATTCCCCAGTTCCAGTGATAATTGATTGACCCTAACCCTAACCCTAACCCTAACCCTAACCCTAACCCTAACCCTAACCCTGCTGATCACTGAAAATCCAGTTGTGGGCTGGGGATGTGGCTCAAGCAATAGCGCGTTCGCCTGGCATGCGTGCGGCCCGGGTTCGATCCTCAGCACCACATACAAACGAAGATGTTGTCTGCCGAAAACTAAAAAATAAACATTAAAAAAAAACTAAAAAAAAGAAAATCCAGTTGTGTGTGAAACTTGCCGTTTCAGACCCATTGGCTTTGCATACTTTGGGCTGTGCTTTCCTCTTCCAGAAATCTTTGTTTGCTCAAAGAAAAGCAGGAAAATGCCTATTGCCATGTTTTAGTATAGGACTAAAACACATGTAGTAAGGACCGCAGGGGGCCCTGCTGTTGGCTGGGTTTTCAATCCAGACAGAGAAGAAGAATGCTGTAGCCCCAGAACTCACACCATCTCTGAAAAATAAAGGCACTGTGCTTTTTTGCTACATGAAGAAAGCAGATGCTGAGAGTTTTAGAGGAACTAGGAAACATGAACTAGCCCTCGGCTCTTTGTGTGTGTATTTGTGGAGTTTTTGTTGTTGTTGTTGTTTTGGTTTTTTTGGTACTAGATTTTGAACCCAGGGACATTCTACTACTGATTTTTATCTTTTATTTTTGAGACAGGGTCTCTCTGAGTTGTTCAGGTTGGCCTCAAACTTGTGATCCTCCTGTCTCAGCCTCCCACAGAGTTGCATTTACAGTCGTGTGCCACCTCTTTTTTAACTATGAAATTATGAATTTGTCTTATTAGACATCATTATAAGTGAAACCAATTAAGGTTTTAGAACCATAAAACATAGCTAGTTTTTGTTCTGGATAATCAAAAGAAGAGGACTGTTTTACACCTAGCATCCGTTGGTTCAGTTCAAAAGTACCTATGTGTTGGGGTTGCTAGTTCAGGATAGGTCTAACAGGACCAAAATTTCTGGTGTTGAGCCCTTCAGTGGAGATCAAAATGTGGCTCTGGTAATTAGTCTTTTGTTTGTCTAAAGTCCTCTAACTTGATTTTTGTTTTAAATTGCATTTCTAAGCCAATCTGAAATGGGAGCAATGGAATTTTATTATACTTAATAAATATTCTTGTTGGGATGTGGGTTCAAAAACTGATAAAACTATATTAGTTCTTTTTAGAGGTAAGGTGTCAACAGGAGGTGTGAGACCATTTATATCTTCATATGCCTTTCTGGTGTGAGTTCTGGGGCTGTAGTAAATCTGTGAAGGGTAAGCCTGTACTAGATGGCATCTTATATCTTCACATCTGTTTTCTCTTCTTTCTCCAATCTTTCAAAAGCCTGCAGCTCCATTGTTGCACATGCTGGCAGACAGATCATTTGAATTTATTCACTGTCTGAGATGACTGGTATAATGCCTAGACACACTGCTTTACTACCTCATGTAGTTTTCTGACTTGTCCTTCCTAGTGCCATCTTTAAAGAGCCTAACAGGTGGGCTGAGTAAAGGGAAAAAAGGGTTACTCTCAGCTAGTATATATATCACAAAGGTCATTATGGTAATGGCACTGGATGACCAATAGTGGTATTATTTTTCCTTTCCTTCCCTCCCCTGGTGCTGGGGATTGAACCTAGGGCTTTCCATATGTTAGGTGTTAGAATACCCAGTACCCAAGAAATCAAACTTGCTTGTAAATAGATTGGCAAGGTAAAAAACAAAACAAAAAAATACTGTTCTTCTGCAGAAGGGTGTGACCCCAGAGGCCAACAAGCAAGCACACCTGGGCAGGCAGTCCACCAGGTTTTATCCCTAGTGAAGCACTGCCCCTTGCTCTGATAGGAAGAGCCGATTTAAAATTGGGGAGGGTACAGAAAAGGGCTGCAGTTGTGTTTGGATACCTGTTAAGAGAATTTTGTTTGTTTTTGGTACTAGGGATTGAACGCACAGGCCCTAAACCACTGAGCCACATCCCACCTCTTTTTAAAAAAATTTTTATTTATAGACAGGGTCACACTAGGTTACTCACAGCCTCACTAAGTTGGTGAAACTGGCTTGGAACCTGCAATCCTCCTGCCTCAGCCTCCTGAGCTGCTGGGATTATAAGCATGAACCACCAAGTCTGGTCTTGTTTGGGAATTTTAAAATGGCACCATTATGACCTCATGGTTTCCTAACTTAAAATGGCTCCATCATACACATGAAATTTAGGTTACAATAAACATATTTGTATTTCATTACAGGTTTAGATTTGATAGAAAAGAAAACATAAATCTTACCTGGGCAAATGCTCTACCACTGAGCCCAAGCCTCAGTCCCTCTTTACAATTTTATTTTGAGATAGGATCTTGCTAAATTGCTCAGACTGGCCTCAAATTTGTGATCCACTGGCTTCAACCTCCTAAGTAGCGGGATTACAAATGTGTACCACCATGCCCAGCATGGTCTTTGCAGTTTTAKGGTAAGAGTCCTTCTTATAGTCTGCTTTTTTTTCTTAGAAATGGTGATATGTACATAATCATCTAATTTAAAGGGCTCTTCTCTGAGACCTTAGTCCTTTTTAAAGGTTTCTTAAGTATGCCGGTTTTCTAGTTGGCACCAGCCAGCATGCCTTTTGTAGTTTTTGGGAGCCTGCCTTGGTAGCTTTTGAAATGCCTAGGAACTTAATAACTTGTGAGCTTTTGTTGTTGTTGCTTTGGAATCAGTTCAGGCTCACACTACTGAGCCCTGGCTGCATTTTGGAATTCATAAAATTGGTGTTGTGTTAGTTGCATTGATCTTTAGGCATGGTTACTTCATGTCATTGATAAAACTGTTTCACGGTTGTTGTCACTGCATTTCATAGGGAGATTTGTGTACAGTTTTACCCTTCAGGTTTCATTTGAAAACAAAAACAATAGGAGGAGGGATTTGAGGAGAGGAGTAGGAGGGCAGAGGGCAGCTCAGAACCATCTTAGCCTTGCCCTAGAGGATATTGATACACATTTAAATTGTTTCCCTTGTGGAGCATCCTTAATTTGAATTCCCGTGTGTTCTTGCTGGAATTATTCTGTCTTACTTAATGACATCATTGTTACTTGCTTACTTGCTCAGAAATAAAATTTCATGGCTTTTCTCTGGGCCATATTTTAAAGGATAATATGATTGATGAACCTAAAGACAAGAGGCTGGTTAAAAAAACTTGGTTCCTGGTAACAGACTTAGTTAATGTGTAGAATATTTGAATTTTAAAACGTGGACTATGGTTTCAGTGTCGAACAGGCCTCAATATTAAGCAGCAATAACATATTGTTGTTGTTTTCTTTCTAGGTGCATGCTATTATGATGCTAATCAGTCTATGTATGTGTTTGGAGGCTGTACCCAGAGCAGCTGCAATGCTGCCTTCAACGATCTCTGGAGACTTGACCTCAATAGCAAAGAATGGATCCGACCTCTGGCTTCAGGTAAGAGATGAATGCTGATCTTAGCCTCCTTACCAAGTAATTCCCTTGTCATGGAAATTCTACCTGATCTTTTTTGGTGTTGGTCTCAGGCATAGGTTACTGGGGTCTCAAATCTCTTGCCAAATCTGCTATATAAATGCTAAGATTAATATACTTGGGTAAGTCTCTGATTTTTAAAAAGTTATACTTCATCATTAGTTTTGGTTCCTTGCCAAAATCATTATGCTACTGTGTGAATTTATTCATGTGCTTTTCTCRAGTACTTGTACAGGTGTGATGTGCTGTTTGGTATGAGGTTGAAGTTAGTGCAGAAACAGAGTCGTGAGAACTGTAGTTGACTGACAGAAGCTATTGTCCCAGGGCTAAGGTCTCTGAATATCTTTTGTTCTTGCCAGCTCAGATATTTGGGGAGTGTATGGGACATGCCTCTGCTAGTTCCTCTTAACAACTCAGGAGTGTGGGAAGATTCCATAGAGGTACATTCCTGYACAGCCCTGCTCTGCCAGAATTTTGGCAGAATGAAACTAGATTATTTTCTACATTCTTATTCAACCTTTCCTGGAAGAAAAAAGTAAAAACACAGCTGAGTTTGCACTGACAAGACAGGGCAATTTGAAGGGACACAGTTATGATTTGAGGGACTGGTACAAAATATAGTCCTCAATATAAGGTGTACTGCTAGATTTGTTGGCAAACTTTTCCCAAAACATTCTTCATTTAGCTTTTCAAGGTTAGAGCTCAGTGTTAGGACAGGAGATTGGGTTTTCCATGGCGGGTTCCATATTCATTTAGGCTTTGCCTTTACTACTTGGATTGCTAGATTGTAGGCAACATGGTCTTTTATAAAAGGTAGGGTGCTAGAGTAGATACAGACTTCATTTCCTGGCATAATCACCAATTCTCTATTTAACTATGAGCAGGTAGGTGTACCTGTGTGAGAAAAAGGTGGAGTAGGACTAGGTGATTCTGTTTTCAAGTGGGCTGGGAAGGCCAGTTATGTTTTTGTGTTCACAGTGAATGTAGGATAAGTTTTAAAACTACTTAAAAGAAGCATTTTGCTGTCCTAAAGCTGAACTCTCCTGTTCCTTCTCTGTGTGGTAGACAAATAGAGGAGGAGGACAAGGACAGGATACTTACTGGGTGGAGCTGGGTTTTGTGCCGAAGATCTGTATTATTGAAAATATGAGGAAATGGTAATCTTATAGAAACTTTGAAGGTTAGCACTGTTGTATTGGCCCTCAAAATTTCATACTTCAGAGGGTCTGCTTTTCTAGTCCTTTGTGCAGTATCAGTGTTTGGAGTCCTGATTCTGCAGTGTAGCTCTTATTAGCTGAAGCCTCTTGTTGTCCCTGTACTTGGTGTTTTGTCCAGCCTGCACTTGAGAGCAGCTTTGATTGTTCCAGTCACAAAATAATAATACTGCCTTTCTCTGGTTTGAACCAAGCTTTGTGCCTTTGGTAATTGGGCATGGGTGTAACCCTCTCTTGTGGAAATGGAGTTCTAGAACCTTCATAGACTGATACTACTTGTTATTTTTCTCTGTAAGACGGACAGGGGGCTTTTTTGTGTGTGTTGGGGGGGTTGTTGTTGTTGTTTGTGGGTTTTTTGTTTGTTTGATTTTCAGTACTGGGGTTAGAACCCAAAGCCCTTGTGTGTTCTAGGTAAGTGCTCTGTCCCTGAGGGACATCCTAGCCTAGGTTTTTGTTTTGTTTTGGCTTTGTTTTGGTTTTTAAATCACTGTTTAAAGGCGACACTTTGAAATTCCCTTGGTAGAAAAGTGTTGGAGAAGTAACTGGTTTGGTAATTCAGTTTCTATATAGAACACTAAGAATGTCCTCTTTTTAAAATATGTAAGTTCTCAAATGTTTTATTTTCTTACAGTCTCTCAAAGAATCTAGCTGCTGCCTCACCCTAATCCACAATTAAAGCCTAGGTCCAGCAGTGGAGGAACTGAACTTTTTGAAATGTTTGCTTTACAGAAACAATGGTTTAATAAAGAGTCCTGTGAGATTCTCACTTAGTCAGAAATCCCATGGGAAGATTGCCTGGAGGAATGTTTCTGTCCTGAGTTCCAACCAGAATCACTTCCTGAGACCTCAGGGTGTCTGATTAAAACAGTTGTCCATGTGTCTGGTGCTCCTGACTGGCACAGAGCTCAGAGGCAGAGAGTTGCAGTTTGGCGAGGGGAGGGTGTTACTCTCTCCTTTTGGTCACAGTTGAAGGGCAGTCTCATAGTGTTCGGGTGTGTTAGATAGTAGCTCTAACAGTACTCTGTCTTCAAAAATGTAGTTGTTGGTTGATCTATTTATTTATTTTTCGGAAAGTTTGGTGCTAAGTGAAAGAAGATATATATAGTTGAGAGGTTCATTTTTTAAAAAACAGCAAGTTTTATAGATGTTGATATGCTGATAAGAACAATTTAGAGAGAGGACTTGGTTTATATTGTTAGAACAATGTTTTTTTTTTTTTTAATAGTTGTTACATGGACAGAATGCCTTTATATGTTTATTTTTATGTGGTGCTGAGGATCAAACCCAGTGCGTGCCTCACATATGTTAGGCAAGTGCTCTGCCACTGAGCCCCGGCCTAGCCCTAGAACGGTATTTTTGAGTGGTGAGAAAGGCAGAATGAAGTGTGAGGGGGGTCTCCTGGAGATGGGAAGGTTGACTGTCACTTATCTGCAGGACAAGAGAAAAAGTGTGATTGCAGATGCTAGGGAGTGGGGCTGGTACAGGTTCTCGACTGATTGGAGCATCACTCAGGTGAACTAATTGAGGGTGGAGCAGAACAGAAACCATTGGCAGTCCTGGCCAGTGATGGTAAATGTATAATTGTACACATAGTTCTGGTTTTTGCCAAATGGTTCCAGGAAGTTGAATGTTTCACCTTMTCATTTTTGTACAAAGGTAAGGCTGATTCTTAATCAGATTTTTTTGGCTCAGTCTCTGTGTTCAGTTCCCAAAGCAAATAAGCAGTTCTTTTAACAGGTACTTTGAAAGACTAATGTTTAACCCACTGTTTCTCAAACGAATTACCCTTTATTCAAACCAAGGCTAATATACAATCATTGTAAGTCACCAGGTGTGGTGGCACAAGCCTGTAATCCTAGTGGCTTGGGAGGCTGAAGCAGGAGGATCATGAGTTCAAAGCCAGCCTCAGCAACTTAGCGAGGCCCTAAGCAACTCAGTGAGACCATTTCTCTACATAAAATATACAAAGGGGTGGGGTCGTAGTAGCTAAGCATCCCTGGGTCCAATCCCCAGTACAAAAATCTTAAGGATAATCTTATAACCATTTACAGAAGAGGAACGAACTTTCCACAGTTAAAGAGTCTAAATATTTGTGGAGTCTATAAATATAAATGTTAGGTAAAGATTTAGAGCTCGGTCACCTATTTTAACTAGTCCTGGGTCATAATTGATTTTCCCACCACATTTTCCCTATCTAACCTTATTTCTTAAGATTTTTTTCCCCTTTCCATTGCACATGCAATTCCAAGTGTTAGGTTATGGGTTCAGGCCCTTTGTTTTAGAAAAATGTGCTTAAGGACAAAGGTACACAACCTAGATACATGTTTTCCTCCTGGCTTAGCCATTCCTCAGTTGCGTGCCTTTGAACTTCATCACTTCTGCATTCTCTGGGCCTTGATTCCCTTCTCTAAAAAGAGGAAAAGATAAGCTCACTGTTCCTGGAATACAGAAATAACAGTCATCCGAATTATCTGGAAACGTGCTTAACCAATGGACACCATAGCCCTGTAACAGACTCACTCAGTAATCTCAGGGGTTGAGAATAAGTTGGTGAATCTACATTAAAAAAAAAAAAATCCCTATTGACTCTACATATAGCTAAATGTAGAAATCCTGGAGCCTGTGCTCACTCCGGCAGCACACATACTAAAATTGGAACGATACAGAGAAGATTAGCATGGCCCCTATGCAAGGATGACACGCAAATTCATGAAGCGTTCTATTAAAAAAAGAAGAAGAAATTCTGGAATCTTATGATGTCTTTTTTGCCTTCTTGTGCAGTCTGTGATCTCACTCAGCTTTGTCGCTGTGTAGAAAGTGGGTATATAAAGTGCCAAACCGGGCTCCTCGACTACGGTTAAGGAAGGAACATGCTACCTCCCTGCTCTTGTGGTTGCTACCTTTTGCCCCTAAATTAGTGAGAATCGGCTTACTGCCCAAGGAAATGTGTCTGGTCCTTGAGAAGGTTTTAGAGGTGGGCGTTGGTTGTCCTAGATTCTTAATACATTCTGTCTAGCCTTCATGCCAGCCTGATTAGGATGGCACTACATTTATCCTCACATTGGCAGAAGAGGAAGCTGAATCACAGAAGTACCTAGTGATTTACCTACTGGACCATACAACCAATAAGTGAAGCAGCAGAGATTGGAACTCRGGTTTTGTCTCTGAAATTCATGCTTTTTCCACTACACCACACAGTGAGCAGTTTCATTTTTTTTTTAAATTTATTTCATATTACCAATTTTTAAAACTCATATTTTTATAATAGAACAGAGTTCCCCAGTTTTTTCTATCGTTAACATCTTACATTAATATAGTAGACTAACAATAATCCAATGTTCAGTCCATAACTCTATTCAGATATCCTGATTTATTTTTACCTAACGTTCATTTTGTGTTCTAAGATCCCTCCTTGATATATCACATTTAGGTTTTTTGGGTTTTTTAAAGAATTTATTAGCGGGCTGGGGATGTGGCTCAAGCAGTAGTGCGCTCGTCTGGCATGCGTGTGGCCCAGGTTCGATCCTCAGCACCACATACCATCTTCGTTTGTATGTGGTGCTAAGGATYGAACCCGGGCCGCACGCATGCCAGGCGAGCGCGCTACCGCTTGAGCCACATCCCCAGCCCTCTATTTTTTTTTTTAATATTTAGTTGGACACAATACCTTTATTTTACTTATTTATTTTTATGTGGTGCTGAGGATTGAACCCAGGGCCTCATCCATGCTAGGCTGCTGAGTCACAACCC